AAATTAACAAGCAATTACAGAAATGTCCACCATACAAGAGCCACTCCAAGGTACCTGGGCATGCAATACTACTGCTTCTGTGTAACAAAATTTAAAAGTGTTACTTGGCTTGATTTTTTTTAGATAACACAAGTGAGAACAAATTAGGAAGACAAGATAACTCAAAGGTGCTTTTACAGAAATCAAAATCTTTGGTGAACAAGAGACAACGTTTCTCAGAAACAGCCAGTATGTGCAAAACAGCTCAGCAGTAGAGATGACAGAATAGAAGAACAGTAGAACAAAATTTGGGGACTAAATGCTCTTACCAAAACAAAGCAACTCAGGCAGTTCCAGGTACCAACACCTCACAACTGCCTGTCCCTCTTCATGCCCTCGCACATACACAGCCCCTGTTGAGTGCAGTGGTTCTGTCTCAGATTAGAGTGAACAGAAGGCAAATGTTCCTGTGGCCATTCCTTAACAGCTGCTGCTCACATCCACAATACTAACTTGAGGTGGATTTGTGCTAATGGACTAATATGAAATGCAGCTAGGTAGATACAGACACCATCATCTCTGCCGCTGCACACAGGAAACAAGGTATGTGGCATAAAGTAGGGTGCACAGTTGCAGAAAAGTTGTAGCTAGGTCCTCCAGAGTTTATCTCTCAGATCAAATCACTAACCAGAGAAACAAGCAAAGACATACCTACCTTTGTGCTCCCAAGGTGATCTCCAGACCCAGCCCGATAAGCATTTAAGTAATCCTGTACTACAGCTGTTAGGTCAGACATCAAGTTATCCATTAGAGATGAGTGGAGCAGCAGCAGGTACTTAGCCTTCAGGGCAAGTGCTTTAAGCAGAGAAGCTGGAAAGGGTCTCAAGAACCATATGTCAAGATTCTCCTGTGTATCCCAAAGGAAATGAAAAGAGTTATTTAAGTAGCAAAAATTATAACAAAGCTTTTAATCACATTCTTCTGCAGTTTACAACATATGTCCCGATGCTGATCTCTATTTTCAGTGCTACTGAATGCTTGCAGCTTCTAAGGCCATCTGTGTACAAGCCCGTGGATGTTAGAGAAGAGGAAGTTTGGGAGGAGGTATTACTTCTTTAAAACAACCAAACAAACAAACCAAACCCCAACACACACTTAATGCTAGGTTCTCTCTTGCCCATATCTCTGAAACTAGGCTGGATTCCTAAGAGCTGAGCTGCAACATCTAAAGGGAAAAAAACCCCCTCCCATGAAGGGAGCCAGGGAAGCAGCTGGGGATGACAGCTGGATCTTCAGCCATCACAACTGGGACTAGAACAACATGAAAATAAGCCACAGTTAAGCAGCATGACCACGACACCCTGAGCAAAACTGACACTACAGAGTGGCTTACACTAGTATACTTACTGCACAGTATACATATTACACACAGTGATGTTTCCACTTTTAATCTTCAGACAAATAGGAGAATTGGTCTGAAGATTAAATTGTAATTGTAAACTAAGGAAGGCATGTTGTAATTTGTCTTAGATTTGCCATACAGAATTCTCTAAACTGAAATTTTGAGAGACACTATTAAAATTCCAAACCTTATATAAAAATAAAGCTGTGTTTAAATTAGAGGTTTCACTGAGCAGCTATTATAGCAATATAAAATAACATTTAATCCAGGCTTTCAAGAAAGATTTTAAGTCTATGAAAAAGCAGCGTGACACAGATTTACTCAGGAAGTAACAGGACCAGTATAAAGGGAGGAAAAAAGTAGGAAAGACACTGTTCCTATTCAGTAAAGAAATCCTGATCTTTAAGGTCTCTTCCAACCCAAACCATTCTATGTTTCTATATTTTTGCTGGGCTTTTAATCACCTGGCCTTGCTTATTCAGGGTTGTGGTGGGAAGACCTTAAAGATCATAGAGTTCCAACCCCCCTGCCATGGGCAGGGACACCTCCCACT